AAGAAAAAAATTTTTAGGAAACTGTGAAAAGTTCTTTGATCTGTTAATATTAATTTGGGAAATAAATAAATAAATAAATAAATAAATAATTCAACAGAGGGTGAATAATTTTGTCTTCAACTGAATATCATATTGCAAACGTTAAACTTTAACTGTGTTTGTGTTCAACACTCAAACTGCTCATTTTACAGAGTGATGTCATTTGAACACACACAAAACCTGCCTTGAAAGCAGTCTGTCCTGAATGAGTCTGCTAAACTACAACATTTTCAGCCTCCTTGTGCTAATTTCAATCTGTTTACACACACTAACGCTCCCTGGTTTAGCTGCGCCCTCAGCACTCAAGACCACAGATATCACTACTAGTATTTCTGGGTCATCTGGTTTCTGTCATAACAACTACAGAGGGCTGTTCTGTGTTCAATGCAACAAAAGCAGATATCTACATTGAATATTCAGAGTCTATATAACAAGGGTCAATGCTGTGGCAAAAAGGGGTTTGTTTACATCCCAAACCCTGGTCTTCAACACTCAAACACAGACACACACACAAGTGTCTCACCCTGCTTAAGCATAAACCCTCATCACCATGATAAAACAGGGATCTCATGGGAGTGGGAGGGGTGGATCAGAGAGGAACTGCTTAGCAAAACCCAGCACGATGGCTGGGAAACAACTGAAACAGTGCCTAAGGCTACACAGCTCCAATACACAGTGACCTTTGGAGATTTAAGAAACTTTAACACAGATACAGACACACACAAGCAAATTAAAGTGATACTTCACCCAAAAAGAAAAATGTAGTTACTATTTACGCTCACTCAAGTGGTTCAAAACCTTTATGATTTTCTTTCCTCTTGTAAACAAAAGAAGATATTTAGAAGAAACCATTGACTTCCATTAAAGGGAAAAAAGAGTTACAGGTTTTCACCTTTCTTCAAAGTATCTTCTTTTGTGTTCAATAGAAGACAGAAAGGTTTGGAACAATTAATATATGAGTAAAATGTGTCTGAATTTTCATTTCCAGATCAAATATCTCTTTAAACCAAAGGCAGTGCTGCGTCAACAGACTTAAATCCATTTAATTTAGGGCATTTATTTTATTTTCTTCTATTTGCCTCTATTTTAGCTTTTTTAACTGCTTACTGTTTCTATTTATCACCTACATGGCTCAAAAATTTAGTGTCTGATGCCTAAAATTAAATGTACAAAAGAGATCTTATATTTATTAACATATATAAACACATAAAACATATATAAAACATTTTAAATGAAAGTAAAAAAGTGAAAAGGTCTGTAGATATTGGTAAAGCAGTGTTATATTGTCAAACGCATCAATAGATAAGATGGTGAAGTTTTTTTCTCGCCGCTGTCGCCACTGACTTGCATGGTTCAGGACTTGTGGAGCTGCGGATTTGCTCTTCAGTGTTTGGACTTTCAGCAGTGAAAATTAGACAGCACTCAACTGAACTAAACTGAACTTAAACTCTTAAAACTGCACTGACAGTTTCAATTTACTAGCACTTCTATGTGAAGCTGCTTTGACACAACTTACATTGTAAAATCGCTATATAAATAAACATAAATTGAACTGAATTGAATTAATATAAATTGAATATATTAATTTAAAAATCACATTCAAATTTTATTTGAAATATGAAAATTATTATTAATAATAAATAAATAAATAAATAAATAAATAAATAAATAAATAGATAAATAAATAAATAAATAAATAAATAAATAAATAAATAAAATGTTAACCTGAAATTGTACACGGGAAATAGATGGTTTTACAGTACTGATAGTGTGTAACAAAATAAACGTAAAGACATTTTTTCCACATTCTACAAAATTCATAATTCAACTTATATTTGTTATGCTTATAATATAATTGATGAAGTGTAATTTGCATTAAAGTCTATTTAATTTAACAATGAGCTGTTCCCTAATTTCCTCCTGATTGCCAACCCCCCACATACACACACACAAACAAACACGCTGTATACATTTAAATTGTCATACTATGCATAATGTTTATTCATGACTAATGAACTGAAGCACATTTACCATCTCTTTTTGAATCAAATCCTAGAGTCAAATTCCCCTTTGCCATCCAGTGATTGAAAACATTTGTAAAATTTAACTTTTACAATATTTGGAAATATGTGTTGCATATGAGACACATTTGATTTTTGTAAAATCCAAACGTGAACCTGTTTGTCATAAATGTCATTTGCATATATTGCCATATATAATTAAATAAGTGATAAATATAAATCATCATAAATCATTTAAATTCAAGTAGACTTGGTATTTAGGTATTTAGACTTAACAAAGCATTTATACACTGCTACTCTGTTTATTTAAAGTGCTTCTTTTATCCACACTTGTAAGTGGCTAAGGATAAAAGCATCTGCTAAATGAGTAAATATAAATATACTATATTTCTATTGTGGTGTAACCAGGTTAGCTTAGCAAATAAACCAGAATTGTGAACTTAAACTTATCATAGCACTTATGCACTGCTACTCTCTGATGAATTAAAGTGCTTTTTTAAGTCTCTATAAATAAAAGCATCTGCTAAATGAGTAAATATTAAATATACTATATTTCTATTGTGGTGTAACCAGGTTAGCTTAGCAAATAAACCAGAATTGTGAACTTAAACTTATCATAGCATTTATACACTGCTACTCTCTGTCGATCAAAAGTGGTTGGAAATAGTTACTACCAACTCCGCCTTTTCTCAAAAATGAAATCCTCTCTTCCTTCACACTCACTAGAAATTGCCATACACGCGCTTATAACCACCCGGTTGGACTATTGTAACTCTCTCTATTTTGGGCTGCCTACGTCTCAGATTGCTCGCCTACAGTTAGAGCATAACGCAGCAGCTAGATTCTTAACAAAAAGCCCGAAATATGCACATGTCACTCCTATTCTGAGGTCTCTACATTGGCTACCGGTGACACAAAGAATCGAATTTAAAATCCTTCTCTTTGTGTATAAAGCCCTACATGATCTAGGCCAGGGGTGGGTAAACTCGGTCCTGGAGGGCCGGTGTCCTGCACAGTTTACCTCCAACTCTAATCAAACACACCTGCTTATAGATTTCTAGTAATCTTGAAGACACTGATTGGCATGTTCAGGTGTTTTTGATTAGAGTTGGAGCTAAACTATGCAGGACACTGGCCCTCCAGGACCGAGTTTGCCCCCCCCTGGTCTAGGCCCTCATTATTTATCCCAACTGATTGTTAATTACACTCCCCTGAACACTTGCATTCCGCTGATCAGTTTTTTATTAAAAGTTCCAAAGGCCCACCTCAAAAGAAGAGGAGAACGTGCTTTTGCCATAGCAGGTCCTCACCTCTGGAACGCCCTGCCATTAGAACTAAAAAAGGCTTCGTCGCTGCCTGTTTTAAATCTAAATGAAAGATGCATTTATTTTCTTGGTCTAAGAAATTAAGTCCTTCCCTTCAGGGGGGGGTTGGGAGTGGGGAGGGGGATCAAAACGGTCATGTTCTTAATCGTGTTTAGTGTTGGTCAACTGTGGTAGCATCTTTTAATTAGGCAAAAATTATTTTTATTTATTTATTTATTTTATTTTATTCTGCTCTTTTATTGATACACTCTTCATGTTCTTTCCTATTATGTGCCTATTGCTGTTACTGTTTGTATGCTCATGTCATGTGTTTATTTTCTCTCGGTAAAGCACTTTGTGCAGTCCTGTGGCAGTTGGAAACGTGCTATATAAATAACTTGAACTTGAACTTGATTTGAGGTGCTTTTAATAAGTCCTGTTGAATAAAAGCATCTGCCAAATGAGTAAATGTAAATATACCACATTTCTATATGGTTGTAACCAGGTTAGCCTAGCAAGTAAAGCCTGAACTGTGACTTATCATAGCATTTATACACTGCTACTCTCCAATGATTTGACATGGTCCTTTTATCCTCATTGGTAAGTGGCTATGGATGAAAGCATCTGATAAATGAGTGAATGTAAATATACCATATTTCTATATGGGTTGTTATCACCAGGATAGCCAAGCAAATAAACCAGAATTGTGAACTTAAACTTATCATAGCACTTATGCACTGCTACTCTCTGATGAATTAAAGTGCTTTTTTATAAGTCCCTTTGAATAAAATCATCTGCTAAATGAGTAAATGTAAATATGCTATACGGGTTGTAACCAGGTTAGCTAAGCGAATAAACCTGAATTGTGAACTTAAACTTATCATAGTATTTACACACTGCTACTGTCTGATGATTTGAAGTGCTTCTTTTATCCTCACTTGCAAGTTGCTTTGGATAAAAGATGCTAATATACTATATTATATGGGCTATCATCATCAAAAGGATAGCCTAGCAAATAAACCTAAATTCTGATCCCAATCCAGTGGCGCAACACCACACCTTAAGACGCACACATGCAGCATCATCAACAAGACCACAAATCTGTATTAATATCTCCGAGCATCTGTCATGCAACGACACCCTCGCAGGGCGTGTGTGTTTTTGGGCCCAAGGTGATGATGAGGCAGGATCTAAAGCAGACCGAACCATGACCAAGCAATGTCAAACCACATGCACCACTAATAAAATCCCGCAGCACCATGAAGACAGGACCGAAATTCCCCTAAAAGCAACATAAGCATAACACACACACACAAACACTCTTTGGCTATTGAGCTGAAAACACTGGGCCATGCTTCCGTGTACAGTGGGTGGAGAAAACACACTGACTCTCTTACATTCCCAACAACAACAAAAAAAGCAACGCTGCAGATTTTGAAAGCTTATCAAGAGGCTTCAATGTATGTTCTGCCCTCCTTGTGGATGCTATTAATGCATGCGTCAGGTTCTTCCTTCAACAATGTTGTCCTTTCAATCAATCGAACACTTAGGCAGCATCACGTCTCGTTTAGATCTACACTGAATTTGCTCAAATGAAGCATGTGGATGAAGCTGAAGAGAGAAGCCGGGTACTCACCATAACACTATCTCCTCCATTTGTCCATCCAGTGCGGTGTGTGTGTGTGTGAGGGAGGTGCCACTGCAGGGCTGCCTGCCTCGAGCAGCCCTCGCCGGACGGATGCTGATGATGTAGCGCCTTTCAGGAGAGCAGCCCAGTTGCCTTGGAAACTGAGGAGTGATGGAGTGGCCGTGCTGCAGTCTGATTGGCTGGAGAGGGGTGGTGCTCTGATGTGGGGCCCCCGGTGGGTGTGGCTACAGATGAGAGAGAGGAAGCGGAGCTGTGAAAGCAGAGAGACGCAGACAGATGAATATAAACACACACACTCGTGTTTATCATCTACGTGACATTTCAATTTACGTGATCAAAAGCAACACATAAGTAATCTGTCCCTCATTTAGTTATATACTTGGTTTATTTATTTAATTTACTTCATTTTTCTTCCATTTACAGTGTTTTTGGTGTATCTAAGTGCATCCGTAAACTGTTTTCCCTGATTCCTTTCCATCTTTCTTCTTAATCGTTGGTGTTTACATTTGTAAAATTGAAAAAATATTAAATAAATCATAAAAAAGCAGCACATAAGATGAAGAAGTACTCACAGGAGTGCTCCAAGCTACCAAAGAACAACAGTTTGTAAACAATATGGCAATACCCAGTTAGTTTAATGCAGTACACAAATGCTGTTTATTCATTCATTGATTTTCTTTTAGGCTTAGTCCCTTTACTTATCAGGGGTCACCACAGAGGAATGAACCGCCAACTTATCCAGCATATGTTTTACCCAGCCGATGCCCTTCCAGTCGCAACCCAGTACTGGGAAACACCCATACACTCTTGCATTTATACACACAATTTAGCTAATTTAATTTACATATACCGCATGTCTTTTGACTGTGGGGGAAACCGGAGCACCCGGAGGAAACCCACACCAACATGGAGAGAAGTTTATTTATTGTTTTTGCTTATTTATTGTTTTATTGATTATTACGGTGTAAATTTTGGCTTGTTACGTTGGCTTATTTAAGTTTGTATTTCTCTGCATTTTTTTATTTGTTGTTATATATCTTGTAATGCTTTGAGAATAAGAAAAGCGCATCTTAAATAAAATGTGTTATTATTATTATTATTATTATTATTATTATTATACATGAAAATATTAATAAAATAATAAAATAATAATAATACAATAAATTAATTATAAAATATATATAAAAACAGAGCGACATGGTGGCTCGGTCACCTTACAGCAAGAAGGTCGTTGAGTCGAGTCCCGGCTGGGCCAGTTGGCATTTCTGTGTGGAGTTTGCATGTTCTCCTTTGTTGGTGTGGGTTTCGCTCACAGCCCAAAGACAAGTGCTATAGGTGAAATAAATGAGCAAAATTGAGTTTATGAGTGTATGTGTAAATAAATTGTTTCCCAATATTGGGTTGCAGCTGGAAGGGCATCCGCAGTGGTGACCTCTGAAATAGAGACTCATACATTCATTTTCTTTTTGGCTTAGTCCCTTTATTAATCCCTTTATTCCGCCACAGCGGAATGAACCGGAATGAACTCCACACAGGAATGCCAACTGACCCAGCCGAGGTTCGAACCAGCGACCTTCTTGCTGTGAGGCGACAGTGCTACCCACAGCGCCGTTGAAAAAGAGACTAAGCCGAAAGAAAATTAATAAAAACATTTTTAATGTTACATCAAACTTTCAGTGTGTGTGTGTAGTAGTAGTAGTAGCAGAATATACATTAAATAAAAAAATATATATTTTTTTTATTTTTTATATATTAAATATTATAATATTTTAATATTTTATATATTATTTTTTATATTAAATTTTATTTAATATATATTCTGCTACTACTACTACTACACACACACACTGAAAGTTTGATGTAACATTAAAACATGTTTTTAATTTTCTTTCGGCTTAGTGTCTATTTCAACCACGCTGTGGGTAGCACTGTCACCTCACAGCAAAATGAATTACAAAATGTTTTCATTCTGGAATTTCAGTGCCACCAAATTTCAGTCCGGCCCCTTTCCATGGTAAACAAACACCACCAGCTTACATGTGAGTTTTTGTGCCAATGTATACGTCATTATGTAACAAAAAAAATTGTTTTAGGCAGTCTGGTTTTATTGCCGAAGATGTTTATTAAAGGTAATAATGTTGTAAATAATGTCCCGTTTCTTAATAGACCAGTAATTTGCTTTATAAGTATTAAAAATCAGGATCCACAGGTAATATTTAGTTTTGCCTGTATGTGTTTTTATGACTCTCAAAGCCATTGACTTGCATTATATGACTCACCAAGACCCCATCTGAGCTAAAAAATAAATAAATAACAATCTTTAATGTTAAGAAAGTAAACGTCAATTACGTCTTGGATTGCCTGAGGAAGTCAAATTTAATTTTAGGAGTAAATAAAATGTCTCATTGAAAGTTTTTGTCGCATTATTTTATTAAAACCACTGGATGGCGACAAAGTTGCGCTTGCAGCTGTAACTAAGCATTTGTATTATTCTACTTCAATATTCAACTTAACAGATCGATAAGATACATGACAATCACCAGACAATAAAATGTAGGCTAGTTTCACCATAACCATAATCACGACTAACCTAATACAAACTAATAAGTGCTCTTTTACAATAATAAACTTTAAAAGAAAATGCACAATATATCAAAATGTAAGAGAAGCCTATTTAAAATGACTTTACATTCTAAAGAAAACTGTGTTTATGAAACAACTATTAATAACAACGAACGCCTTTTATAAATCAATAAAAAAATAAATGGAAATAACTGCTCAGCTAAACTGTGCCCTTTATTTATTGTTTCAACATAAAAGAGCAGCACGCAGAACAATCTAACGGCCCCGGAGCCATACAGTCAACTCTTTTATTTTTGTTTTCATTGAAAAACTGCCCTTATGTCACTGCAGATGATGCTGCGGTAGATCTTTCTGAAACGATGACATCATCCCCCTGGCCTTGGCAGTGGAGCCGAACACACGAAACACACTCCATTTTGGCTCCAGTCCAGAGCGGAGCAGAACGTTCAGTCTCTGATATTCAGAGAGCCAACATGGCGGACAAGTGAGCCGCGGTTTCCTGATTGTTATTGCTTTTGGAGGAAGTATGCCGTGAAGCCCTTTAACGAAAGAAATGCGCCCTCATTGGTTTCCACGGTGTTTACGGAGAGAGAGCCAATCATATGTGCCCGCTGATCCAGGTGATATCCCTCCTACCAGTATCTCCGGAGTAGGTTTATTTTGGTTTACCCCCCGCTCCTGCGCCGCCGCCATTAGAGCCAGTCATATCGGCAACAGAAATGGGAATTCCGGTGTCTAAAACCCTCTAAAACCCGCTTTGATCGGAAGATCGCGGTGGTGTTTGGGGTTTCAGAGGAAGGAGAGGAATAACATGGGTGTTCGGCCGCAGGATATCTCTGCTGTCGCGGTAGATTGTCGGTGCTGAGCTGGATTTGGACCCGATCGGATTGGGTTTCGGTAGGACAGACGTTCGGTTTGCAGAAGGACGAAGTCGGGAACGGCAGTGTTTGCAAACTGAAGTGTGGAGGGCAAAGACAGGTAAGGGCCTTGCCATTTATGTTTTAAAAAATCACTGTAACGTAACAGAATATATGCAACAGGGCAAATGAATCCATATTTTCTCCCAGCTTCCTAATACTCGCGTATAATTCATGTGCATATTTTTAGTGTTTATTTATTTATTTAAGGAAGTGAAAATGTCAGCATACAGGCTAAGCTCAAGTAGCGTGTTTATTTACAGTGCAGATACAAACACTGAAGCTCTTTTATGGTGTTGTTGTAGTTCGGGTAAAATCGACACCTTGGTGTGGAATTCCGAAGCGAGCCGAGAGTGTTTACAATGTAACAGCGCACAGTTTCTACTGGATGCATTTCAGCTGTGTACATTTGAACTTGATACAATGTAAGCAGCGGAAATGCTTCTCGAATTCCATTTATAGCGCCCGTTACAGAGAAACCCCTCTCACCGTTATAAGGTTGCTGTCATGTATAAAGAGGTTATGTGTCAAAAGCCACTGAAATGCCAACATGCACAGCATTTTTGCGGTATTACAGGCGCGTCCAAGCTTTTGGGTTTGACAGCTCGTTATCCAATCTGACAGAATTGAGGTAAAGGTCAAATTTGGACTTTCTCCTTAATAATACATGATCAGAAAGGTATTCTTTGCAAATTGTTAATAGTTAATAAATAACAGATGATGACTATCGAAGATCATTGTTTACAGTTATTATATAGTGCTAATGTTGTTTTCAAGTCATAGCTACTTGCATGCTATTTCAAGCTGAATATTCAAAGTACCATGGTAAACAATATAGGGCGCATGCCACAAGTTGTCACTAAACGAATGTGCAAATAAAACAACTTAACCTCAATTCTGACATTCAAGTAAAGTTGGCTTCAAATTCGCATGTTTGGACTTTTTCCTTAATAATATTTCTGTTTTTTTAGTTTCAAGTATTGTAAATTGCAAGTTGTTAATAGTGAAATCATATTAATGACTATCAACATTGTTCACAGTCAAGTATACAGTGCTAATGGTGTTGTTAAGCCATACTTGCATGCTATTTTAGACTGAATATTCAAAGTGGCCTGGTAAACAAGCCTGTCACAAGTTGTCACTGAATGAAAAAAAAAAAAAAAATTACCTAAATTCTGACCTCCTCAGACTTTTACTGTCATAAAGCAGGACTGATATTGTTGTGTAACATTATTTTAAAATGCTGTTTTTTAATGGGAGACCTAAACAGTAGTGATTGTGTCAGATGAACTCTTAAAAAAAAAATGCTGGGTTGTTGTAACCAAATGTTCAGTCAAATATGGAAACTATTGCATATAGAGTGATTAAGTCATGACTCGTGGGTGTTTTATTAAATATCATTTCACGTTACAAGCGCTATATTGAACACATAATAAAGTACACACAAACTTACTATATATTTATATATATATATATATATATATATATATATATATATATATATATATATATATCATATAATGATATTAGAGGCGCGTCCATGCTTTTGGGTTGACAGCTCTTTATCCATTATGACAGAATTGAGGTAAAGGTCAAATTTGGACTTTCTTCTCAATAATATAATTT